GACTTGTATCCAGATATATAAAGAAATCTTAGAACTCAAGAAAAAGACAATTCATTTTTAGGATCACTAGTTTTTGAGAAAGCATTTAGTTCGTTGATGTGGTTGAAGATTTAATTGAAGACAGTGACTTAAAGTTGTATGTGTGACTAATTATAGTTTTTAAAAGTTGATAAGAAAAATATAAAGTAAAATGCAATTTTACCCTATTACATAAAATAGAGAGAAGCCAATGTGTCAAACACCTCTAGCTCAAGCAACCATAAAATTCATGGTTCAGAACATTCTATATCCATTCTATTTTAAGGTCTGATCATTGTATCAAAATATCAATTATAAACTGATGACTCACTAAGAGTCAATACAACTGGCTTTCCTATGCAGAAGTTATATATAAAAAGCAGAATACATTTGATACTGAATATACATGATTTTATACATGCAAGTAAAACTATATTCAATGTGCATTGGTGTTCAGGATAATTGTTACCCTATTAAGGTGCATGTTGAGAAACATGATTAAATGATGCAAACAAAACTGGAAAATTCAGTTTTAAAATGTTTTATTTCGTAATCCATAAAAAAGTTTAAAGAAATTAAAAGCAATAATATGTACAACTCAAAATGTAAATAGAAAGGCAGCTTTTAATCACAAGTGAATGAGGCAACAGTCATGCAGTCTAAGGTGAAAGCATATTTAATATATATACTTCCCAATGTTGTACATAAATAATGTTAACTACGCAGTAGAAAGTTGTCACTTTTACATTAGATCTGCATATATAAGACACTTGTCAAAATTTTAAGATTGATAAAACCAATTTCAAGCTGCTTATGTTTTGAGTACAAGTTTTACAATTACAAACATACTATGCTAACAAAATAGAATCCTCAATCTTCTCTTTATCTCATGCTTGTACAGTAGACCTCTGAGACTGTTAATTTCCCTCCTTGTAATAACTCAATTTCTTGTAATTACGCATTCAGTTCCCTATGCATCTCACCCATCTCCTTGATCTGAAAGAGATAAAAAGAGAAATCAGTAATAATGATTTTCTAACCTGCTTCCATCCATTCTGTAAATATTTTTGTAGAAACAAAACTAATAGAGCAAGATCGGCTCCTTCCACATCTGAGATTTTGTTAAAAGGGGGGGGGGGGAGCAGACACAGCAGCACACAATACAATGAGTGAAAGAGGCAAACTGCTATCAGATAGAAGACCACCCAAGTGCCTGGTGAAGTAGCAGATAAGACAGCTCAGATTATGAAAGTAGTAGTTCTTTCTCTACTGTCCACCTTTCATTGCACAGGTGAGGAACTCAAACTCAGCATGAAGTCTCAGGCAGAGGCCCCCTGACAACAACGCTGATGACCTCTACTGGTGGCAAACAATGCCACGAGCCACATGTGGTGCCAAAACTTCACACTGATGGTGCGGTCAATCCTCATCCAATGCTCATGGAAGCAGCAATCAAGTGATCAAATAACACATTTCATTGGGAAAATTTGCTGTGCAAGACTTTCTTTGTGTGGGAGGCCTGGTAGGGGATGATCAAGGGGAACGTAACAAAGAGGAAGTGCTGAAATCCTGGTGGGGACTGAGCATGATAGTGGGACAGGAGGAGAAT